TTAGTTTCTGGTCCCCTCTGTTAGCCAGTGATCTAGACCATAGCACACTACCACCTAGCATTGAAACTCCCGTGTTAACGAGTAAAACAATGATTGGCGCATTACCTAGTGACCGGGCGCCTAACTATATATACATGGCGCGAAATTCAAAAGTTTAGTAATATTACATATGATTGTGAACTCATTTTAAAGTAAAGGAAAATCGATATAATCCTAAAATAACAAGAAAAATTGTTATCCCATACGATAATAAATATTTTTCGTATACTTTTTGGGTTTTCTTGTTATGTTGAGACTATATTTATTTTACATTACATTAAAATGCCAAAGTGGTTAAAAAAATTAAAGAATAAAATATAGAATAAAATCTTTATTTATAAAAATATTACAAGAAATGTTATATGTGTTACAAGAAATATTAACAATACAAGCCAAATATACTATAATCTAGTTTTCTTAATGTTGTGGCAACAACTGGTCAGTATTTAAATAATTGTTTTGTCTTAGTATGTCAAATTTTGTGTGAATAGAAGCCTAGTTCTGCAAAAGGCCTTTTACTACAATTTTATTCTCATAATTCGCAAAGAATTTAAACATTGGTATATAATATTCAAGATTTTTTTAGAAAGCAATGAATCTAAAAATAAATCACTAGAAGACAAAGATAAGTACATGCTTTTAATAAATTTAGTCTATATGTAATCAATGGGGAAAACCAATTGCTTTTTTCACACATACTCTCACAGATTCTGAATGAAAACATGCAATTGAAAAAATGCAAATGCGTTGAAGTATTAAAAAAATGCAGACATTATCTGGTAGGAAAGCAATTCAAACCAATCACAGATTAAATCACTATTTTGTTCATATAGAATGCTGGCATATATAAAATCTGACAATGAGAACTAGCTTTACTTCACAAGAATTTATTAATTATCTACACTCTAAAGGAATATTTCAAGTAGAACAACACCATATAACCATAAAGGAAATGGTTAAGTTGAAAGATACAATGAGTTATATAGAAATTGGTGAATCTAGCATTGAAAACCAAATATTTAGACATCACTAAATGAAAAACTGCTTTACCAGGAGCTCTGTACTATATACGAAGTTTACTATTGAATTGTTATATTATTGAATCACGATAATGATGAAGATGAAAGTCCAAATAACACATTAGAGAATTCCACTACTAAATCAATACCAGATGTGACAGAAAATTTACTTGTTCAAAAACCTGATGATAATTATGAACCAAGATTGGAAAATTCGGATTTTCAATCTAGCTGTAAATCAGCTGGAGCTAAAAATAAACCAAGATAGTTGCAATATTTTGTTCACAAATAGGGACGGGTAAATGTAGTATAATTTAGTGTTCTAAATGTTGTGACAAGAACTTGTCAGTAATTAAATAATTTTTTTGAAATTCTAATGTCAAATTAAAGCCTAATAAGCAACAGACAGCCGTCAGACATTCTGAGTTCTTTGTAGTACTTACATCCTAATCTAATAACACACACTACCAGCGGTCAGTGAGAACTCTTACTGTTTGGCGTTCTACTCACAGAAAGACAGAACTCAAGAACTCTGCTAAGTTGGAAACAGAAAAATTAAATGATTTAGTTCTAGAAAGAACTTTATATACATTTATATGATAATATTTTTAGTCGTATTTAAACCTATAAACCCAACAGTTAGCTCTAAGATTCTAAGATCCAGCACTATAAAGATAGAAAAATAACATTAAAAATAAAAAAAATATGTAAAGTATTACCTAGTTACAATAAAAACATGAAGTATTTTACAAAGTTAAGTTTTCAAACTCTATGTTACCAGTAACTCTTTTCTTCTAATATTTATATATTTATTAAGAGACATATTAAATACATTTAGATTTAGGTTGTTCTACAAAATGGAACATTAAAAGTACATAGATGAGACAAACCATGGTAATATGGTACTCTAAGACCAATCTCACTTACAAGAGAGAGACAGATCCCTCCTCGCACTTAACAGGCAAGCTCATAGACCTCTCCATATGATAGTGGAGTCATGGTCTGCTAATCTAATCCAACTTTGAAAGGCGCACACCTGCAGAAATTTTTGCCGAACCCTCTCTAATGTGATGCTTTTTAGGGTAGTTGTTGAATCACCAACTACAAATAATTCAAATAGTAAGCTAAGTAAGACTGATTTTATAATATACAATTTTAGGTTAAATTTATAATTAACTAATTTTATCAGTAAAAGCAGCGGTAAAAGGTCACATATTGGCATAATAGCAGTAGTTCTTACCTGGTGCTGGTAAAAACAAACTCAGAACGGCTGTTCTCGTAATACCCGTATGACCAACATTAATTATATCTTCCTCTTTAAAATGACTGGCGCCTACACGAAAATTGTTATAAATAGTTTCTGTTGCAGTATTCTCTAATTAGGACTTTTAACAGCATTCACCCATTTATCAAACATATCCATATAATCTCCTGGAATTGAAAAACGGTATTGCTTGCCAGTAGTATCCATGCAATCTGGAATACATCTTTTTTGTTCAGTTCTTCGTCTCTACATTGTTATTCCATGTAATGTGTTCGCTTCTATTATAACAAATCGTCTAAAATTGTACCTTTTTGCACTACTTATATAAAAAAATTTAAACTAAAATAAATTATAAAAAATAAAACAAATACAAATATGACGCAATATTTGTCTAAATTCAACTTTGATCTTTGATTTATTTAACCACAGCACACTCACACTCCCTCCGCGTAGGAACGAGACTAGCAGCGCCGCCAAACGAATGGGCGTATGGACGTTAAATCCGAACGTGATTTGACATTGCCTATCCCTGTTACCAATCTACAAAGACCAAGGCAACAAAAACAAGATGCTCTTCTTCAAAATGCTTCCTTCCGTTTAAGAGTTGTAAACAATATAAATTGGCATACTGAAGATGTTGAAATATGTAAAAAGACATTTATATCTATATATGTAATAGGTCGAAAAAAGTTAGCCGTGCTGCAGCAATCATTGAAACTAACAGGAGATGCACAAAACTATTGTAGAGGTGAGCACACTAAACTGCCACACAAGCTCTTTATTGAAGCAGAAAGTAAGATAAAAAGTTATATTCGATCGTTTAGAGGTCGTATAAGTCATTACAGTATGCATTATACGGCTAAGGTATACTTACCAGAAGAACTGAATATTAAAAAAATGTTTAATATTTTCTGTGAAAATTAAGTTTCCCAATGAACATGTGTTATATGAAACGTATAGGACCTTTTTTTCAACCGAGTTTAACATATTAGTTGGATACCCTAGATCTGACGCATGTAGTCAATGGGAGGAATATTTAGCCAAGATTAAAAGTCTAGAAGCTGAAAATCTCAATTTATCCCAAACAGAAAATCTGACTCACCGTAAACTAGAGGCAGATATAAACCGATTAAACATAGAGAATAAATTACACAAAACGAAAGCAGAACAATTTTATAAAAGAAAGAAGGACACAAAGACACGTAGCCAGAAGTTGATTTCCACGGAATCTGCATCGATTTTGCAAAAAATCTTCTGGTTCTAAATATTAATAGGTACGTGTGACGTCTATTATAAAAGGCAGTTACCTACATATGCATTTAATATCCATGTTCTGTCTACATCACAAAGCATATTTTACATGTATCCCAAAAAGTTGGAAAAAAGAAAGTGATGATGTCTGCTCTTTGCTACATCATTTTGTATATAATTATCTTAACACTGATGTTCGTGAACTTGAAATATTCTGCGATTCCTGTGGAGGACAAAACAAAAATTACACTACATTTTGTTTTCTACACTGTGTAGTGCATGTAGAAAAAGACTAGATTTGATTAAGGTTAGTTTTCCAATTAGAGGTCATTCGTACATAGAGTGTAATCAAGATTTTGGATTAATAAATCAAAAAACACAAGTGGAATTCCCAGAACAATAGCAGGAAGTATTTCGAATGGCTAGAAAGAAACTCTCTCCTTTTCAAGTAGAAAACGTTAATCAACCGTATTTCAGAACATGGACGACATTCTTAAATAGACATTATAGAGGAACATGTCTATTTTCTTTTAGGTTGATTAGGGAAATAAAAATAAAAAAAAGAACATCCAAGGATGATACTTGACCGAGATAGTTACAATTACAAATTACAAAATCAAATTACAAAATCAAATTACAAAATCAAATTACAAAATCAAATTACAAAATCAAATTAGAAGGCAACTAGTTTGAACTGCTTGGTTACTTGTATAAAAGTAAGATACACGTTTTTACCTTTGAAATATTTCTATAACAGGAAAATTTCTTTTAGCGCTTTTACCTATTAGTAAGATGAAATGCAAGAATCTCCAAGAGCTGAAGATATTTTGTGGCTCAGAGGCTCAAGACTACTTTAACCAGTTGCCATATTTGTAGAAGACAAACTGATGCATTACCCTTTAGCTTTATGATTATCTATTGCAATAAGCTAGACAACCTCATCTGTATACGAATTGAAATAATTTTTTTTTTTGTTCTTGGATCAATAAAGAACTCAACACCTGAAAAAATTTACCACATCCTCTTTTTCATAAGGCAACGCTTTTAGTTTTATTTACATAGATTTAGTTTACTGTTACAATAAAAATATTATGTTTAGTAAGTAGTCTATAATAATAAGTTATTTTACAAAACACCTTTTTGCCCTGTAAAAATTGCAATTTGCTACAAAACGTTTAATTACTTTGTATGCATTTGTATTTTGGCTATTTACATTTTTAACTGTCTAATAGGTAACATTCCAATACATTATTAAACAATTTGTCACCTTTTATTTCCCCATAATAAACAAACATCAGAGATTCCAAACCTTTAAAACCGATTTTCTCGAAACTTGTTTTTTGACAAAGCACCTTCTTTGCATGTACCCTTCATTTAGTATCTAGACTTCATCCTAGTAGATAATAACGAATTTATTAACTTTTTAGGTATAATATTGATGTACTGTATTGGACCCTTTACACCGTTCTATGTTCCACCGTCTGTAGCAGCTGGACTGCTAATGTTTAAATTACTTATATTTTCATTTATGCCTGAAACACCGTACTTATTGTTCATGAAAAACAAAATTCCGGAAGCGAGAATGAGCCTGCAAAAGTTACGAGGAAAAAAAGATGTAGAAGATGAACTGAATGAAATACGAGAAGCTATAGAAAATGATATGAAAGACCAGAAAGGAACGTTTAAAGAAATTTTTGTAGTCAAACGTTACCGAAATGCTTTAATTATTGTTTTAATATTTGATTTTACAAAATTATGTAGTTGTTTTGAGGTTGTATTGATGAATATCCACCAGATGTTGGAAAAAGCTGGTTCTGTGTACATTCAACCTGCATCTGTGGCTATTATTTTTTCAGTGTTATTATTAATTTCTTCTTTAATATCATCAGTCACTATAGATAAATTTGGCCGTAAAGTTTTGTTTAGTGTTTCAAGTGTTCTTACTGCCCTTTGCTTGCTTATTTTAGGGATCTTTTTGAACCTACATCAAAAAGGTTACAATGTTCAAGCTATGAACTGGATACCTGCAGTTTCGGTTATGGTATACGCTGTTGTGTTTAAATTGGGAATGGGTACTGTACCATTCGTCATATTAGGTGAAATATTTTCTACTAGAATCAAAGGACGAGGCATCGCTTTTTGTAATGGCTTTCACACCTTCACTGCCATAGGTGTCTTGCAGCTTTATTTTCTTCTAAGGAGGGCGTTTGGAATCTATATTCATTTTTATATCTTCTCGTTTCTCACTATTATAGTTACAATATTAATAATGTTTTTTGTCCCTGAAACTAAAGGAAAAAGCTTGGAAGAAATACAACAGATATTAAGAGAAAACTCTTTTAAGAAGCTTGTAGGAAATAAAAAGGCTGTAGAGCTTAGTAAACTGACAGGTGATCTTTAAAATTCATAATCTCTGAGATTTATTGGGAAACATTTTTCGTTAAAAAAGTAACCAAATTAATTCACTATATTCTGTTTGTCATTCTCTAATTAAAGAAAAGTGGAATACAACAATAATATCCATGTCGTTAAGAGATACCAAAGATTGCTGCAAATAGTCTCCTGCAATCGTTTTGAACACTATTGTAAACCTAATATTGAAGTGGATAATGGTAGTACAAACTTACGTACGATGTTTTAATAACTGCCTTATTTTAGATGTAGATAATTTTAAATATACTCAAAAATGTAATATTTTAAATATTTTAAAAGAATTTAGATTATTTATGTATTTAGGGCGAAGAGTAATATATTATTGCTCGAGAATAAAAGTTATACCGAAACGCAAAACTTTTTACCTGTAATACAAAAAACATTTTTTCGCTTAATAAAATAATTTTTAAATCGTATTACAATTTTAAGAAATATGATAAAAAATCTGTACCTTTTACCCACCAAAATTGTTGTGGTTTTATAGTTTCTGAGGTTTCATTTGTGATATTAAATTATTATTTTTTTACGCAATCAGCTTTTTATTAATTTAACCCCTTCAGTGACTTTGTCCTTCCAGAGTGATACTGCGATAAATACCCATACTGTATACATGTATATTATTTTAAGGAAAAAATTATATTATTTATTTTACTTGCTTTATTTGCCATACTTCTAAGATTAATTCGTAAATTACGTAACATTTTCGTAATCTTGTAGTTCGTAATTTTTTGTAATATCCTTCTACAAGGATATTATGTCTTGGCGAATTAAAATAATACAAGACAATATTTACACTAAAAATATTTATTCATATAAAAGTAATAAAACATACAATGTTTTAAAATGAAATTTTAAGAAACAATTCCTTCCTTCATCAGACAAAGATAAACTTCACATTTGGAACAAAATGTTTGCCTCCTTTAGAAATATTTATTTAAATAAAAATAATAAAAAAAATTATACATTATTTTGCCATCATATCTTATTTCTACAAAATGTCTCGCTTCGCACTTTATTTTGCTTGCGCTGGCGCATCCTTATTATTTCGCTTTTCTCTTACAGGAGGATTTTTAAATCATAGTAGATTTTTTTTTTATTGGCTTAGACTTTTAGTCATTCAGCCAGACTCAACATGGTAAAAAAAAAGTTGTCTGAGTTTATATTAATAAATATACAAAACAAAGAACAGGTAAACAGGGTCACTCTCTTCTCGCCTAGGGGCCCATCAAGGCATTTTTTTTAAGACATACAACACTAGGCCACGGTAAGAGGGGAATTTGACAATTGGGTAAGAAACAAAGGTTACTTTATTAACTAATGCATAATTATTTACATGGTTATTTTACTATCCTTTAAAAACATAACCAAGGAATCATACACTGATCTCGAGTCTAGTGATAATAAGTACTGAAGGTTCCAAGTGGCTAATATATTGTATTTATGTAAGTTATTTGTTAATCTTGCTGAAATTATAGTATTTCTGGGGCAACTGAAAAATATATGATCTAGGTTTCCTTCTTTTGTACAAAATTCACATCGATCATTATCTAAAACCTTGAGTTTAAATAAATGTTTGGGGTAACAAGCATGTCCAAATCTCAGTCTAATGATCGTGGTAACATATTTTCTAGGTACATTAAAAGACTTATACCAAGGTGTTTTAGGAATATCTGTTTGAAGAGAAGTGTATCTATTTGGGCTAACAATGGAATATTCCTTCCATATATTATCCCACCTTTGATATAATCTTATTTTTAAGAAAGCCAGAAAGTCGCAAGCCGTGATTTTATACGAAGTTTCTCTACCAGATAAAATACTTTTCTTTGCTAATTGGTCTACATGTTCATTATTTTCCAAACCTATATGTGCTTTAATCCAAACAAAGACCACATTTTTGCCCCTTGTTACTAACTTTTGTTTAATATCCTTAATTTTGTAAATATAAGGGCAACTGTACGTATTTGGCAATCCCGGTTTCCCAATAGAGGTCAAAACTGATAAAGAATCTGATAATATCACTATATCATCCGAGCTACTTTCTGTTGCATAAAGTAAGGCCTCATATATTGCAAGAGCTTCCGCTGTAAAAATAGAGGTCTGGGAGTTTAACTTAAATGTGTGTTCTATTCGTTCCAACGGGACAAAAAAAGTACATCCAGTGCCGTTTGATGATTTGGAAGCATCAGTATATATATATATATATCGACGGAGTTTTTGAATTCTGATAATATTGAGTGAATAATCTGTCTGTTTATGTCTATATTGTCACTATATTTTGGTACCATGATATCTGTATTTGCACAATATGTTGCATATGAAATGTTTTGAAGTGTATACGTAGCTTTATCTATCTCTTTTAATGCTTCCATATTATGTTGCAGAGCTTCGCAGACTAAAGGCGATTTCTTTTTTTCCCAGTATTTAGTAGACAAATCATAGCAATTCAAAGTCAAGATCTTTGTGTATAAGGATTGATTTTTTATATATGTCTTTACCAGAAATTTTTCGGACAGGAAGTTTCGTCTGATATTTAAAGGTGGTTCCAAGGCTTCCAAATGCAAGGGTTGAATTGGTGTGGACTTCATAGCACCTAAACATATACGTAAAGCTGGATTGTGTATTACGTTAATTTTATTTAGCAATACATTACTGACTGATCCATAAAATATGCTTCCGTAATCAAAAATGGAGCGGATATACGCTCTGTAGAATAATAAATTTACATCTACATCAGCACCCCACCACGTTTTATTAATCGATTTAAGGAAATTTATTTCCTTGTTGCATTTGTTTAACATATCCTCAATATGATCCTTCCAAGTCAAATGTTTGTCAAGTGTCATCCCTAAATATTTGACCTTACTTTTTAGTGGATATTGATGCTCTCCTAATTTAATTATTTGATCGTTAGGTTTATAATGTCTAGTAAAAATGCAAACCTGAGATTTATTGCAAGATAATTCAAAATTGTGTTTATGGAGCCATTTTTGAAGTAGCTGATAGATACTATCCAAGTTTTTAATTGCTGTTTGATATTCTTTGTGTTCTGTGTAAATGCAGAAATCATCTGCATATTGTATGAGGTTGAAGGGTATGTTATTTATTTTAATATTGTACAAGTCCGCTACGTACATATTAAACAGGATAGGGCTCAATACAGAACCCTGAGGTAATCCTTTGTTTACGATTCTGGGACCTATGAGCATTTGTTCTTTTCTTAAATAAACTAATCTGTTTGAGTATAGATTAACAATACTAACGGCAAATTGGGCTGGAATTTGAAATATTCGTGTCATTTTTTCTTTAAGTGCTATTAAACACACAGAGTCATAAGCACCTTCTATATCAAGAAATAATGCTGGTAAGTAATTGTTTCGGGAATAATTGTTTTGAATGTCTACAACTAGGGTAGCCAATGCATCCAAAGTACCAAAACCTTTCCTAAATCCGTATTGTTCTTTGGGTAGAAGGTTCTGCTCTAGTAACCACCATTCTAACCTAGCCTTAATTATCCTCTCTAGAGTTTTTTGTACACAAGATAATAAAGATATGGGTCTGTAAGCTTCAACTAATTTTAGATTTTTCCCATGTTTGGGTATAGGAATGACAATAATATGTTTGAAGGCTGAAATGTTAAAACCTTCTCTAATTATCTGATTAAAAATATTTAGAAGTAACTCTTTTGCATTATTTGGTAAATTCAGTAGCATAACATATTTGATTTCATCAAAACCAGGAGAAGTGTTAGGACGATCAGTAAGGGCACAGTCCAATTCTAGTATTGTAAATGGTTTTAAGAGAAAATGACTATGATTCGGATTGAATAACATCAAATCTTCGTGATTGTTCACATATGGTGGTGCAATTTTGTCCAAAAACTCTTCTGTCCACGAATCTTCCAGTGGTAATGGAGCATTGACCATTTTCCTGTTCATCCTTTTCGCTTGATTCCAAATCGAGGTAGGCGATGTTTGTTTATTTAATTTTGAGCACCAATCAACCCAGCTTTGTTTGGCTTTCGATTTCAATAATTTCTTAGCGTGAGCACTAGCTTGTTTACATTTAATAAAATTTTCAACTGATGGATCTTGCTTGTATTTTATTAATGCATTTTTCCTTTCTGCAACAATTAGATCACATTCTGCATCCCACCACGGTGAAGGAGTCCGTTTTTTACACTTAAAGGGTTTATATTAGCAAATACATTGTGTGGAAGCTTTATTGATACAGTCTAATAAAATATTATATTTTTCTTCAGCATTTGGGGATATAGGTCCACTTTCATTTAACATATTCTCGATTATTTCAGCGTACATATCCCAATTGGCTTTCTTAATATTCCATTTACTTTTGGGGTATATGGTCTCATTAATAACTCTTGAGTATTCGAGTTCTATTTTTACAACAAAGTGATTTGATCCAAGTGTATCAGAATCTACCGTCCAAAATGTCTTAGCAAAAATGGAATGGGAACAAACCGTAATATCAATCATAGAATCTGAATGTCCTGGATTTCCTTGACAAGTAGGTTGACCGTTATTCATCACAATCAAATCAAGATCCTGTAGGGTCTCTACAATTTGATCGCCAATATTATCATTTTTTGATGATCCCCAGAGCGCATTGTGGGCATTCATATCACCCCCAATAATGCAGGGGTGCTTCACTTGGGAAAATAAGTTTTTCCAATCTTCTATTCTGGTTTTGGTTTTTGGACATCTATACACAGAGAGAAAACTCAAGTGAGTATTATCGTAATTAATTTTAATACTACAGGCAAGCAGCTCTTTATTGAAGTTTTTATTTAATTTTAATATTTCAAAACGGATACCCGTTTTTACCAAAATAGCGACACCAGCAAAACCGTCTGCACGATCTTGACGAACAATATTATAACCTTTAAAATTATATACAACATTACTTTTGAACCAGGTTTCACTTAAAAGAACTATATCAACATCTTCTTTAGTAAGAAAATTGAGTAGGCTGTTTTTATTTGCAACAGCTGATCTAGCGTTCCATTGCATAATTTTAAGTTTAGTGTTTAAGGCCATAAATTTAAGTACTTTTAAAAATATCCTCGAGAACAGTATACAAACCCTTAGCTAACAAATTATTATCCAGTGTTTTTACATCCTCAACTGATTTGACATTTTTTATAAATTCAGAAAAAAAATTGACTAACGAAATAACTATCTTGTTTTTTTCACCATCTATTGAACTATTAGGTTTATTGGGATTAGGTGGTAGAGGTTGTAACGGACCAAATCTAAAAGGAAAGGTGGTAGAATCTGTAGGGGATTGTGAAACAGGAGTAGACACTTTCCTTTTTTTATGTGCATAATGTTCAGTATTAA